AGCCCAGAGAACTGTAATGGTGACTCATGATAGCCACAGTGATGTCTGTTTTTTGCACATGCTGAGCTGATCTAGTTGACAATATTTGATCAATTATTTTCTAAATTTGTACAAAATAACGTTTGCCAGGTCTCCACTTACTGATTATTTAATCTCCCTTTTAACCCTGCAGCACCATAGTTCTTTTGGGAATTTTGGGAATTTTGTTTCTGGGCAATAGGACTCACTCTGCTCTCTTTGTAAAAGCTTATCAGAGACTGAGACACTCTGACCTCATTTATGAAACTGAGAAACCATTTGCAAAAAATTGTGATGCTGTTAATAAGGAAAATGCATCTTGTTATTTGCTGTTCAGAAGAGCTGTTCTAAAGAGCTGCACCAACATTAAAGTAGTCCCACACATAAGCCCATGAGCTTGTTTTGCATGTGGTAGCATTCAACCCCCACAAATAAGACCATGTCTAAATGCAGAAACACATAAGAGCATTTATCATTATTTCTGAAATTTACTTTCTCTCCCCACATCCTATTATCTGTGATTTGGCATGTGTATTTTTACTTATAGGAACAGGAGTATGTCTTGTATAATAATTATCCTGAAAGCCTGAGAAGAGTTTTTTTTTTTCATAAATCAAAACCAATGACCCTGCTGTCTGAAAAATATATAAAGTATGAATAGAAGTAGGGAAAACAAAATTGCACAGTCATTAAAAGCTAAAAGAAAGAAGCAATACAGGCCAAATAATTATCTTATTGCAAGGAGGTATGGAATGTTTTGTGAACCTTTTGAAAGGATTCATATAGAGAGCAAACTACGTTTAGCTGAATATATTTAGTCTCTGTTTTTGCATTTTGTTGCCACAATTTTTTTTTTAATCCTCTCAGCTCCGTGTTCTTAAATTTGTCCAGCTGGGCCACCTGCTGCATGCCGAATGTCTCTTCTAAATGGGAAACATACGCAATGTTGACAACAGAGAAACAGAGACACTCCACCATTTCTGGGAGCGTAAATTATATAGAATTATTGATATCTGTAATCCAGGCTGTTTAGCAGCTATTCCTACCGATCCTTGTACAGTAAGTGTTCATGCACTGAAGCAGTAAAGGAACATTTTTATGTATTTTTTGCAAGTCAAGTTGTGCAACTAAATTATAACTTGAATTATTGCCCTCTAACTGCATTGCCCTGTGTTAGTGTACAGAACAACAGCTATTTAAGCTGCTGCATCCTCTGAACTCCCAAATCCCTCACCCAAGCTCTCATCATATGTCACAGTTTTCAAAGTCAGTTGTGAAATCTGAAACCACACATAGACTCACATAGTAGCGTTTCATCCGATAAAAGGTTCAGAAACAAGAAGGAATGGAGAAGCCAGACATGGGCAGTTATTTCAAAATCAATAGAGTGACATGTCATTACTAAAAGCACTACTTGCCTCCCTCTGACCTCCTCCTGCTGTGCTGTATACAAAAACTTTCCAATTATTCTATAAATTCATGATATTCGCCTACTGTGGCTTACGTGTTCTTTTTTTCCCTCATATAATACAATATTTTGTCCACTTTAAAGGAGATGTTGATCAATGTTTGCTTTTCATTATAATACAAGTTTAAGTACAAAACCAGAATTCTTGTAGAATTCTCACCGGAAAAGTAGTTTTCAGTGTGAAACTGAACAACAGTGTTTTTTAAAGTACTCACCCTGCATAGTGTCCACATTTCATTAATTTCTATGACACTTTTATTAACTTTTAATATATTATCATTATTGAGTACATCAAAAAGAGCCTCTCGTTGATATGGAATGGAGGTAGCAAAATATTTCACAGGCTGTTAATTAAAGAAGACATTTTAACATACATCAATTGACTTGTCATTACGGACACTGTAATAAAGATATACTGCTAAAATAAACACTATAAGATAATTTATCATGGCCATACCTTGTAAAATAGAAAGTTAGGTTTTCTTTTGGTCTCAGAAAGAAGTAATTGAATTTAGAAATCTGGAAAGGACAAAAAGGGAAGTAGTTTATCAAATTAATGGTTTCTATATCCTTTCAAGGGTAATTATACAAAATATAGTTTGAAATAAAGCCAGAGATTCAATTACCTTGAAAAAAATACCCTTAATATGATAAGGTCAGACCTGATATAAATGATCCCAGGAAGTCACAAATGATGAGTCCAAGCTGTTGTTGATTTAGACAAGAACAGGAAATTAACAATAATTCAATCTGTTGTTTCCATATTTAAACTTATATTTTTCATTTACAAACATTTAAATAGCACTTTCACCCAAAGCAACTTATAGGTGCACCAATTTATTCTAGTGGGTATTTTACTAAAGCAATTGACGTGAAGTACTCAGGGGTACAACAGCAGCATTTAATCTGGGATTTAAACCTACAGCCTTCCAGTGGTAAATCCAGAAACCTTATCACTGCTCCAGACTACTGATCATTTGTGTGTTTCTGTTCAAGTCTCAGTTACGTACTGTACAGTAAGGGAGACTCTACAGTATGTCACAGATGTCGGAAGGGCAAGCCATGGAATGACTAGGAGAGCAGATGAGATCCTACTGTATGTGTGGTAATAGGCAGGTCTCACGACATCCGTACGCTCAATGCTGAGCCAGGAGCAGACCAGACACAGGAAGTAAATAGGCAACACAACAAGACACACTGGAAAGACATGAATAATCACAGGGAACTAGGAACAGGAAGAGCAGGTGTACACCTCTAAGTGTAGAGGGTGTGACACTCTACAAAGGTCATGGCTTAGCCAACAGGAAGTACAAGTGCACACAAACATTTTTTAATTTTGTTCATAATGGATGCTCAATAAAATGTAAGTGACCTCAGTTTGCCATGATCATTAGTTTCAGTTCACCTGTATATCAATTTTCATATCAACAGTAACAGTACAAGCCTTTTACTTCTGAGTGAGGGTGGGCATTTAAGGCAATATTGACAGACAAATGTTGGGCTACACTACACATTGTATGGGCAAGCACGATATTTGGGAACTGAGTCAGAGAGTGTTGTATCAATGTTATCCACAAAAACTAGAGAGTACGTACATAGCCTCCTCAGCAATTGGACAATCATCATTTATTCCTCCTTTGTACAGTAGATATGGAATTAAAAAATAGTCCTTCTACAGTATCTTAGTGCTGAAAATACTCATTTTTATATTTTCAATGAATTGATTTATCAAACGAATTAAATCAATTATATGAAATTAATGTTAATTAAATAAAAACATGACAACTAGCACCATGTAGAATCAGCCTCATGTTACATGCATACAATATGCCATTATTGACATTTCTTTAAGATTATAGCAATATTGAACTAAGTTTATTAAAATACAAAAATACAAATAAGTAGGTACTATACTGTATGTGATCTACAACCCCACTCAAAATGACAAAGTATTGTAGTATTGCAGCATCTTCATATTACATTACAGTGCTGTTGTGTTACTTTGTCACACTAATTCAGGGCAAATACTAATGATTTGGTCCATATGCAGAACATACAACCATTCATCATGTTGCAGTGCTGTAGTGCATCTTGGTCACATTAATTCAAGACAACAATCAATTATTTATTTTATGTACAGAAAATGCACAGCGAATTGTAAACAGTTATTTTTCAGAAATAAGTATTCATTTAATACTCCTCACATTGCAATTGTAGAGCTAAAAATAGTCAAGCCAATGAAATAATGTTAGGGGTTATAGATATCATCCTAACTTAATCTACAGTATATTAGCTACATCACATGAAAATATCAACCTAATTAAGACTGTGCAAACATAATGTTTTCAATTTGCCTTAAATGTTTTGTTCATTTTAAAACTTCACCGTCTCTGAAATACATAAATCTTTATTTTCTCAAATTAATTGCCTTTTTTTTTTACATTTTTGCTCTCAAGTTTTTTGTTTAGCTCTCTTTCACTCCAAATATTTTCTGTCTGCTTGTTGCAAAGGAGCATGCTGCAACTGCATTGCTTATATTATCCTGTTTGAGCTTCTTATTGCCGGGTGTCAAGAAAAGGATCCCTTAGTAGAGAAGGGCAGTATGCACCTTGACTTGTATTGCTTTTCATGATTTGTAGTACAGGGTGGTGCAGTTGTAAGCATTGCTGCTTCACAGCCCGGGGGCCCTGAGTTCAGTTCCTGGGGTGCTATGGGTGTGGAGTTTGTATGTTCTTTGTTTGGGATTCCTTCAGGTTCTCCAGTTTCCTCCAAAAGTCCAAAATTTACTGGTAGGTTAATTAGCTTCTGGGAAAAAATGTCTCTGGTGTGTGCATCTGTGGTGTCTATGTGTGTCCTGCAATTGACTGGTGTCCTGTCCAGGGTGTATCCTGCCTTGTGCCCGTTGCTTGCTGGGATAGGCTCTAGCTTCCCCCCAATCCTCTATTGGATAAAGTGATTATAGTGTATATTGGATGGATTGATTTACACTGTGTCAAACCTCAGAAAACAAATTTAGTAGATGAGCATCCTAATCTAGATGCATGGCATCTTCTACCCTCAAACCAAGATATTTTAAGCTGTGCATTCAATAATTTTCATGCTGACAAAAGTGCACTTCCCTTTTCTATACAGTATAAGGTTTCTGTGCCAAATTGAAAGTAGATTGTGAAGCCGCAATTTAATTAATGCCATGATCAACACTTTAGAGTATCTGGGAGTCATTGCACTTACTGGAGTTAATGACCGAAGACATTGAATGATAGTGAACATTACAAAATGATTTGTGTAAAACAAAGACAACTATCTTGGTGAGAGACATGCAACAGGATGGATCTCTTGACCCTCACTTTTAATTAACTGCTGTATATCTGTCAATCCCACACAGAATTACTCACTCAGACAAAGTTCTAGGTTTTACATTAGCCGTCACTGTGGCTCATTCGAACAGCTTTAAGGCTGAGCCCAGGGATTGTCCTTTAAACAGTCCATGTCCAACCCTCTTCTTTCCCTGCAGGAGTGGATGGCATGGAGTGCTCCCTCCCGGTGGATGGGCGTAGAGTGGCACTGAGCCAGCTCTCGGTGGACAGTTTCCGCGAATGCCAGCTGACCCTGACCCTCACCGACTATCTCATCATCATCTTCTCGGGCATCTCCGTCTCGGTGGCTGCCATCCTCGCCAGCTTCTTCCTGGCCTCCACTGTGCACTGCTTCCAGCGCTGGAGCAAAGCGAACAAGAGCGATGAAGAGGACAGCGATGACTGAAAGAGGCGAAGCTCCCTTTGACAGCCTTGTTCTTCACAAAATAGGGATGAGAAGTGAGCTCCAAGGCTCCAGGTGATATCCGCCATGTCGGATCTGGTTGGTCTGAGCAATGAGAAGGGTAGTGCTGTAATTAATGAGGTAGTTTGAGCTATTAGTGCATTTGCTATTATACAACATTGACCAGGATCACACTAGAAGCAATTGGTGGGTAACATCAGATAGAATTAAAGATAGAATTATCTTTTTTATTCAGCATAATAGCTGGTGTTCCATTGCATCATTCCACCTGTGCAAAATGGTGTTTGTACTTTGACGTATGCTTCCGATCTTGTGCAAAAATGCTGGTGTTTGTTTTCACTAGAGGCAAACTGGATGCATGCTGGATAATAGAAGAATTGGTTGGTGGTTCACAGTTTGTCCACAGGGAACAAATCAGGCCCACATGTACTAGCCGTTAAATACTTCTCATAATTAACAATGATACTTTTCGACAAAGACTCATTAACAACATAAAAACAACAACAGATGGAACAAACTAAATTTAGTTTGCTGAAAACAGTGAAAATAAGGAACCCTGTACATTAATATACATTTTTTCAATCTGAGGCATGCATGCTCATTAGCACGAATATACTGTACATTCGTTATCACTTATTCTTAAACAGCTAAACAGGAAAAGTATTTTATGCTGAGTGTATGTCTATGTTAAGCAGCAGTAATGTCATGAGTATTGTTCAGAAGAGGCACAGTTTCAAGGGAAAGTGCAATATCATGACTTAAGCTACCAGAAAATACCCGTGGGAAGTGTAATTACATGAGGTATGGCTCTGTGAAACACAGACAACAGCTAAAACTGCCCCTTACTGGTTCCTTTTATTTTCCGCATAAAATAAAATTAACGTGAAAAACGTGAAAAAGGGATAATTAAAATAAATTAACCTGCCATTATTTGATCAGATTTCATATCAAAGGGATATAATCTGTTTATCATATTTTTATGTTGAAAAATAGATGTGGAAATTATTACTCGTTACTGGAGAAAACAACCGTAGTTCAGTGTAGAGCTCAACTAGATTAAAATGTTTTAAATTACAATCAAGCTTCAGCCACTTGCTGTGACATCTCATGAATTGCACTTTATAGGTGAAAATGGTAGCATTTTATACTGGTTCATGTTCCGTTTAAAGAAATGAGTTTGTCAGAGACTGCCAAAGATTAATTCAAAGTTTCAGGATAAAGTGAAAGTTTAGTGAGTCCTGCTGTACATTAAAATGTTATTAATTCCAGTGAAGTTACATATTACCTACATAGGATTTCTAAGTGAACTGCTTCTGAATTCATTTGAACTGATCAAAGCTGTGGAGTTAATACTAACTCTTAATAAAGTGTTAATGATCTGCGTAAGTGTGTAACATGCTGGCGTTTTAATCAAATTGGAGTTTGTAATGCTTAATTAGTAGGAGGTGCTATTGAATAAGTGACCTATTTTAAAGTGCTGATAAAGCATAGATTTGGACTCATTTCTTTCATTGCTGCAAAGGTTAATAATGGACCAAAAAGCATAGTCATGTATTTGTTGGCTTTTTCATCGCTGTGGCCAAAAGAGGTTTTAATCCTCTTTTGTAAGTAATTTCAGTGTGTTGTTTTTCTCACTCTTTTACTTTTTGAAAGATTTAACACAGCAAACATATTATTCAATATATCCCATTGACTTGTATTGTAGCTGAAGATACTACTTGTTCTGAAAAAAAAACAAGCTTTGAATTCATGCTCTCCACTTTCCAGGATGTGTTATTGTAATGGAGTCATTCTGATTTCCAAGAAATACATCAGTCTCGCTTTAGTCTAGGGGTTGCTAAGCTGAATTATTTCTTATCTGTGTTCATTTTGTGATCTTCTCCCTGAGGTTGAATTATTGTGATGTTGGGCTTTAGGCCTTTTTGAGCAATTGTGTAACCACATCTATGCTCTCCACCTGACTGAAAATACTGAATTGTTGGTATTTTACAAGAGCTGATGTCAAATTGCCTTGTACAATATAGGAACAACCTAAGTTGCTAGAAAAACAGGATAACAAAGGGCAGGACAAAAGGATTACAATACAAATAAGTCAAAATCGGCGAAAACTTCTATGAAAAAAGAATGCATGGCATCCTTTCAAAATTTCAAGTTTGGAAACTAAATGTTAAGCCTTCCTCTTTGAGTGCCAGATACAAGGGTTTAAGATACACACAACGATATTCGGTCCATAGAGAATACATGATAAATGTAATTGATGGGTACATGATAATGTCTGAAGGGTACAAAGTGGAAAAAGATAGTGGAATACATTTGATGGAATACATTTTTACTCTGCACATTATCAAGGGAAATAATACCATCTATGTTTCATTCAAAGTTACTTTTCCACATTGAAATAATAAGTTTAGGAATTCATGGAATATATATTAATTCCTACCAAAGCCCCACTGTCCCTATTAGTGATCTTATTGGCAGAAATACGTGAACATTTGCTGCAATTGTTCTGACAAATTTAATATCAGTGTACAATTACAGTAGGTCATCAGTCGTTAAAATCGAAAGGGGTCAAACATTTTTGTGGTGGTATTACTTTAATCACTTTATCTTCTACTAATTAATGTGCTTAACAGAGTACAGTACATTAAAAAATATGGTAACATTGTAAACCTGTGCTTGATAGTTGATCAATTAGGCAGATGGTGGGAAATGTAATTCTAAATGTTAGTCAGTATTACCGTGTACTGTGCCCAAATTTGAGCTGCTTTGTTTTTCGATAATCCAGAAACAAGTTCTCTACTTTCCTTTGTAAACAAACCATTACAATGAGATTGCAATAATGACTAAGGGATAGGATTCACTGCATGACCTGAGCATATCCATACATATGTCTGCATAGTCCTTCACATATTCTTCTGTTTAAGATAGAGCAATTGTTTGCAACCCCTAAATTGTGAATGAATCATCCATACGATTTGTACATGCTGGATAAATTTGTAACCTGTAACAAATCCTTCGTCTTGTCCAAACCTTTCCTCTAATTTCAGATTTTAAGCAGAACTACGGGACACATTCAAAATTCAGGTACCATTCAGTGCTGTAACTTACAAGGTAGTCGCTGTTGTTATCTACAAATTGCTCCTGTGTGTTTGTATCTTGTACCCCCTTGTACAAAACATACCTAACTCAGATTACTGTGATTATCTGGATTTGTTAGTTTTCATTTAAAATATTCAGTATTAGCTTGAAATGTCAAAGGACACTGTTTGGCAAAAACCTGTCCTCAAGAGGTATGAATTTTAAAAGCAGAGTAAGTGGGTTTTAGGCAATTACAGCGATTGGAGTGCAGTCTGTTTTGTTAAACGTAGACAGTTTTGTTCAGAGAGCTGCAACACGTGCTTATATTGTTTGGAATTGGAACCCGCCAGTCTGACAGTTGGTTAATTAAGGAAGGAAAACACTTAATCTTACTGAAAAACAGTGCATACCTACACATCTAGAATGCCTGTCTTTTGTATCATAGAATTAGGCTTTCAATCTATGTAGCCAATGTTTAACTACTGTGTAGTTACCATGGTCTTAATGTACCTGTATTTTGAGTGTATTATGGTATGTTTTTTTATTGCTCTTTGAATTTCCTATAAATTCCTTTTAGTTCTATTAATTTCTAAGTGTTGCATGCCACTGCCACTCCCCTGCCCCCATGAATTTATTTTATTTTTATTTATGAGAATTTATAGCAATGAATATATAAATGCTAAAACAAATGAACTTTTTGACATGTAATTTCATTATTTTTGATTCTACTTTCAGATTCATATGTATATTTTTTTATAGAGACAGTACGGAGTGAGTCCTCCACAATGTTACTTTAAGAAATCCTTGTAAGACTCCCAGAAATGGGGACTTGTGTCAACTTCATTTTCTTGCCCAATCTCCTTACTTGGTTCCTATCCTATGGTGTGATCATTCTCTAGTATTGTTATTCTTATTTATGCCCACAAGGCTCAAGAATAGGAGAAACAACAGGGAATGGCCATTCCTTTTGGTACATACATTAACACATACTGTAATACTTAGCTGTTTCAGAAAGCAAAATTGCTTCTCTATTAAACTTCCTGGCAATCAACTTTGGACAACCTTTTCAGATTTTTCTTTCCTGGATGTTTTTTTTAACTTGGCCAATGGCAATCTTAATAGAACCTACAACAGAGATTGTACTGTACATTGTAGGATATGGAACCAGGGAGAAATGAAACAACAGGAATGGGCAGATGATGGAAATTAGTCCTCAGAGATGGTACAGTATACTTAGTGTGAGGCCCTTTTCATAAAGCATTGGCATGTGCAGAAATTTAGTGCATCCCAACTCTTTATGAAGATCTGCCCAATATGATACTACCAAGTACACTAATTTAAATTCCAACGGAGAAGAGATTAGGCAAACCTTATTAGCTAAGATTTCTACATTTGTGAGTGCATCTCTAGGTACCATCTCACCTTTGTTATGACTATTAATATTATATTGTTCTTAGCATTTTATACTGTTCCTATTTATACCAAAATGAACTCTTTTTGCTTAAGTAATATAAATCCCAATAGCCATGCTGTAAAAATATTGAAACACTGTAAGATCAAGGTATATATGTGTATATGTTTAGTAAAAAAAAAAACAAAACCAAAAAATACATTTTTTAAAGACTCGCTTGTTGAGCTTGATTATTTTCTTCATTGCAGATCATCGTAGGGGTCCATTGAAAGCCATGACAGCTTACTGACAAGCCAGTTTTACTGATATGTACAATCAGAACATTAGAAAGACCACAGATAAGAAGGGACCTTTCAGCCCTTTGTGCTCAATTATTTCTCTTTCTTTACCACCATCACCACCTCCGAAACAGGGGAATTTAGAGCAGTCAGTCAAACCTAAACTTGTATATCTTTGGAAGGTGGGAGGAAGCCAAGTATCTGATGGAAACCCACGCAAACCTCTCTTCTTCTAGTTTAATTTGTACAATGAAAAAATGTTGAGGTGAGCATTTTAAAACAAGCTCACACTGGGTAGCTCGCTTGAGGTGGCAGTGAAGGAGCTGGACTTTAACTGAACCTCTGATGCCACAGCTTTTTTTTACTTCTGTAGCGCACAGGTGATTTATTTCCACTTCTGAACTGTCAACGTGCTGTAACATCTCCCTCTGCTCATTGGAGCAGCTACATCAGGGAACTGAGATTGCAGAGTGTTGCCTCCCTAACCCTCCCCTCAGGTATAACAACATATTTCACGCCTTGGAGCCAAGAAAGGACTCATTACTCACCAGAAATAACCTCTTTTGTGCAGCCTGTGGAATTTTACAGACAAAATGTGAAACTAAGAAAATTGCAGTTCATGTGGGATATTCACTACAATGCCAATTAATCACAAATAATGATAAAAATAGCAACCTGCAGACAGAGAAAGCACTTGCCAAGAATGTGTTTAAATGTTTTGAGAGTGTTTCAAAGTTATCGTGAAAAATCAACCCTTTTACAACAAATTTTAACGGGGAACTTCAGACATATATTGATAGATGCACCAGCACATACAGTAGATAGATGAACAAATACATTAGCAGATATTCTTAGATAGGTAGCCATCCATTCATTTTGTAACCACTTTGTCCAATTCTGGTCCAGGGCAGAGACAGGGCCTATCTCGCCAAGCAACGGACATGGGATGGGGTATGGGGTACATCCCTGGATGGGATGCTGTTACCATGGCAGGGCGCAGACACAAACACAGACACACTCACTCCAGGTCCAATCAATCTACTGTACCAGTATGGCTTTGATCTGTGGGAGCAAACCAGGGCTCCAGGACAAAACCCATGCGAACATAAGGAAAACATACAAACTCCATGCCGATAGCCCCCTGCGCTGGGAGAGATCAATGCTAACCACTGCATCACTGTGCTGCCAATAGATTAATACACCCTACTTAAATACACTTGACAAATGCTTAAGGCATTTAACATTCCATAGGGGTCACCATCTGTCATTGAGACAGAAACTCTTTAATGAAGCAATGTGAATCTGTGCTGATAATCAATCAGCGATGTGCAATGCTTATAAGGTATCAAAAGGCAACTACTGTATAAATACCTCCCTTAGAGCTGCATCTAGGAGTTGCCTATCAGCCAGTTGAATTCATACATTTTACCTTAACCTCAGTCTAACCCAAAGAACCCAAAAATAACACTTTTGATATTATGCCAGTCACAAACAACAACAACAACAACAACAACAACAACAACAACAACAACATAAAACAGCCAAAATGTGGTTTTCTTCCCACTTTGCGACTTCTCAGGATGAAATTAACCTTTACATTGTAGCTCGTGCAAGCTAACTTGAACCTCATGAGCGAGAATAATTAATTAAAATCACTGGTGGAATATTATATATCTCACTGTCTTAATAAGATCAAGTTGCTCTAAAAACTCCCAGAGTCTCATTTGATTTTTTCTTATTAAAGGGAATGATGAGAGGAGAGTAAAATCCCAAATGGCAAACAATCATGTCTGGGATATTGAGACACCATCTTGCTTGATTTGGCAGTGTCTATGAAGAAGGATTCCCCTTCCAGCTTCCCTTAAGCATATCCAATGCCATTTACAAGCAAAATGCACACAGCCCTATAACATCTGCAAACAGTATTTTGTTTTTCATTTCCCTTCTGTGCCTTTGAGCCTAATTTGTTTTACAGGGACTGAAAATCAACAGTCAGCTGTGGAGCCTGCTGAGAGGCTCTCTCAAATTTACTTGGAGAGCTCTTCCATTTATAACGAACAATGCTAATAGCTCCTAGATTTCATGCATCACAGTTGAAGAGTTGTCGTAGTACTACCCATTGAGATATGTCACCTAACATTAAGGTCAAGCAGGGCAGACCATGACCTAGAAGGTGACTGAAATATATTTCTTCCATGTTTGACATTTAGATTTCCCTGCTTCAGGCACGTCTTAGTAGTCATTGGCAACCCAAGCCAGTCTCTTTGTGGAAAGCACTGGTTAAATATGCTTTTTGTTCCTTGTTGTTTAAATGAAAAAAAGCAAGATTCAAGTTGCAAGAAAAGCCACTCAACATGGATGGTGGTGCTTTGAGTTATAAGATTGAGCAGGAGACGTGAGGACTCTGCCCACCTACAGTACAGTAGGTGCCTGTGGCACGAGATTATCTGGCAGGAGTGTTTCTAGGTCACATGTCCTTTGCATGCAAGGTACGTTACTTTACGATATCTGAGTCCTCGATGGGATTGCTTTGTGATGCCTAAAGTATCTAAAATTAATGTCTTGATTTTACTTTTAAACGCTGGATGTAAATTATGTTTAAGCAACTTTTAGTAATTATTGCCTGAAATCTTTTACAAGAACAAGGACAGTACAATTTGTTTTGCACCCCTGCCCATACACACATACTGTAGGACACAGGCACCACACGTATTACTTTCTCTCCAGCTATATTCTCTTTTAGGGTTCAGTGTAAGGGGCAAAAAGGTAAGTACAGTATACATCAATGTCTATCTTTAGGTCTTTTTCAGTTTTCATTCTTTCAGAGAAAAAAAATAATTGTAAAATCAAGAACACTTCATTTCTGTTCTTTACATTAAAAAAATGCTTTGGTAATCACTGAGATGGTAATAAATGCTGAACATAACTAACAATATGGCTAGGTGCTTTGAACAGAGATAATGTCCACAGGATTATGTGCAGAAAAAAATATTAAATACTGTTTTAAATGTCAATACATTATACCCCCATATCCTACTGTATGAACCATATGCTGCATATGTTGACATATGAATCGATACTATTGTACAATTGTGTTGTGTTATATGAAACAGAAGGAGAAATACCCACCCCCAGACCCCACACAAATATATTAAGATTCAGTACATTTATCTAGAAATAAAAAAATGGAGCATGTAAAAAAGGAAAGGTCAAAGGATTTAAGCATTTTAAAACAAGAATGTAGTGTATATGACAAGACTGCAAAGCTTGTAAAAAATTGTGTAAAGCATGCACAGTATCTCTGAATTGAAGGAGCAATATACATCATTTATATTTGTGTCCTAATTACTGAAATTAAAATGTAAATCCTAACCTTTAAAGCAGGCACAGTGGCAGAAAGGTACACAGATTTCACACCACAGTATACATACTACTGTTAAATCCTTACATTGTCACTTCATTTCAATGTCTCCCCTTCTCTACAAAGAAGACAAAGCAGAAGAGAAATCGGTACATAATTAGAATTTATTCTCTGTGAAGACTTGTTAACTGCCAATGTAGTTTTTAACATACAAGTGAATTGTAAAGCAGACAGGCAATCCTTAGTAGGCTCTCATGTCTTAAAAGAAGCATGAAATACTCAAAAGCCCATAAGGCAAAAACACATAACACCATTGTATTACAAAGGCCTGCTGCAGATGACCCTTGAGAAGAAAAAGGGAAACCATAAGAAACAATTTTCTACATATTGCCTTGTCATACTATTGTAAAGGCAGACAGACAGGATAGAAACAACAATAAAAAACAGAGAGCAAGGATTCTCCTTCCATCCATTTACCTCGTGCTGTCACCATGGTTACGCTGCCAGAGGCTTGGTGCTCTGTCAGGCCAAAATGGCACTGCAGTAGGGAGAGCACAGTGAGCTCACAACACAAATGTGTTGTTGTGCTCTCCTGGAATTGTCAAGACATGGCATTTTCTGACTGTGTGGCCCAGCATGTCTAGTCTGCCAGCATTCAAAAAGCCTTCTCAAATGTGTGAAAATAATTATGCTGCATTCGGTAATGCAGGGTAGGACTCTCATTGGAGTGTGATGCTGCTGTACATCTCGATTTTTGTTTCTCTGTACATCAGCTGTGACCTGCAATTAGAACACACTATTCTAACACACTATCATCAGCTGTGTTGTCCGTCCCTTAGTACAGTTTTTGCCAGTGTTACTGACCTTTGATCTCTTACTCTCTGTCTTTCCCACTCTCTCAGTACAATAAGGCAGAATGAGCATTTTCCCCATTTAGATTAAAGGCTCACTGTGCTAAACTCTTGTACTCTTGGGCTCCATTCCAGCCTGGGTCTTCTTCTGTGAGGAGTGTGCATGTTCTCCCTATAGCTCTTCTGAATTGTCCGTGCCCCCTGTGTTGGGCTGGTATCTTGTTCAGGTTAATAGCATTCTTGTACTCTCAGTCCAGCCTTGTACCCTTTAATTCCATTATAGGCTCCAGGTTGCTGTATTCCTCTATGGCACGAGACGCTTTCTGATTGGAAGTTGTTGGGAGCACGTTAATAAACGAGCCCCCTCACACCTTATCAGGAAAATAAAGGTTTCAATAATAGTAAGAACTTGTTAAGGTAATAATGTTCCTTCACCTTGTGACTCCTCTTTGCTAAAATGTCCAGAGTTAAAAGTTGTAGCTGTTGCTGGTGCTGAGTTCCTCACCAGAATGGAAGAATACTTTCTGTTTATATCCAAAGTCAAATTAATTCCAGATACTGGAGTGTGTTGGTCACTTTTTTGTTTTTGTGGGCCAAATTATTAATGTACAAGTTTATGAAACAGGC